TGTGTGTGTGTGTGTGTGTGTGTGTGTGTGTGTGTGTGTGTGTGTGTGTGTGTGTGTGTGACCCATCACATCGAAATGAGGATTAAGTCAAATTTGGTCAAAATGACCTAATAATGTTTTCAGATTCCTGCTTTAAAAGCTACATTTAGAAACTTAGGTCATCATGTTATCATTAGTAGATCCAGAGATATTATTTAATTTGTCTTGTTGGATACAATAATACATAAATATTTGGTCTAAATCCTAATTTTATGTAATTTTAATGAGGATTTTTTATTTAATTTTAAAAAGAAACCTCAAATAGTATTTGAGTATTGAGATTTCCCAGCTGGAAAGAAACAAAATCTTTGATAGCTTACAGTGAAAATCTCTCAACATTTTAAGGTGTTTTTGTTCAAAATCTGTTTTTTTGTTGCTAATGTAAAAAAAATGCTTCAGAAATTTTTAGGATAAAATTTCAGGCAGTTCATTGAAGTGATACATTGATAACACATTTATTTGTTATGTTTTTTGACAAAATGCAATTTTTGCAAGTGTTTTAATCAAAACATTATACCTACCTATTTCTCTACATACAACTTTTAGACTTGATCCTCGTTTCGATGTGATGGGTCACAAATGTTTTTATAATTTATAAATTTTATTGCTGTCTCAGATTCAAACCACACCATTTTTTATTCAATGGATTTGAGAGATTGAAAGTTTTCCTGGGTTTGGGTCATGGCTTATGGGTGATGGTAGGTCCAAAGTCAGACCACTGATCTGGACACTTCACAGATATCAATATTGTGTAAAATCTAAACTTTAGGACCAAACACTAAACCTTGATGGACTCCACATTTACCCTCTTTTAAATTCAGTTGGGAATTCTCTCTGGCTTAATGCAGCAGAGAAGGTGATATTAAAAAAATACATTTGATGCTACCTTAGCAGAGGCACCAAGCTTCTCTAGCTTCAGTGCCTGATGATGGCACAAAACCAAAAAAAAATAAATAAATAAATAAAATCATGTAAGCTCTACAAGACMCAGGAGAAACGTGACACAGCATTCCTGTTTTTTAAGCATTTCAAACATTTTTAATTAAAAAATGGTTCTCAGATCTGGTACTCTGAATTCTCCATCTTTTGCGTCATTTTGTGACTTCATGGTTTGTTCCNCAATAATTTTAGTAGAATATAAATATTAGTGAAATCATCTTGAACCACACTCCATACCAGTAGGTGGCGGTAATGCACCCCTTCAGTTTACTGCCAACCGCCATTAAACACCAGAAGAAGAAGAAGAAGAAGAAGAAGAAGAAGAAGAAGAAGAAGAGAATGAAAACATAGCTTTGTTTGTTGGTAAGGATGTAAATAAACGTAGCTCAAAAAGACCATCGACATATTTTTGCTTTAAGAAAATCGTGTTTTATGTAACTAAATTTTAAAAAAGTGCAATTCAACATTTCTTAACATAAAAAGTATCGTTTAAAGCTTCACTCGGACAGGGCTAGCTAAGCTATTGCTACGTATCGTAAATCATTTAAGTAATTGTCATCATTCGGTTTAGTTCAGCTGCTAGTTAAACTAGCCAGTGAATGTGTGTTATTGGTTCTTTCTGAACAGTGGGTCACGATAATATTGACACAAGGCGTCAATATAAAAAATGACTATAATATTGACTATTGATTGATTAAAGGACCTAGCAGGACCACGGTTTAATGTACGTGTGCAGTGCTACGAAAAAGTACTTGTAACTAAAGTATTTTTGTATTCACCTACACTTTTCAGATAGTGAATTATTAATAGAGGAGGATAACCTGAGTAAAAACAAAATGTGATTTTAAAATTAGGATTTTATTATTTATCCTAAAATGCTGTGTGAGTTTTAAAACAGTTCCTCTCTTGTTGTTCAGGCAAGTGAGACTCCTCTTCAGCCTTGTTTTGGATTAAAGATCGTCTTCAGAGGACATGGATGTGAGCATCGCTGTGTCCCTGATCAGGGGCCAGATGGGCACCGTCGTGGAGCGTGCGGTGAACGTAGCGGTGGAGACGGTGCTGGCCGAGATGCTGAAAGTGGTCGGGGTGAAGTTCGAGGAGCTGAAAGCTCAGGTGGTGCTGATGAAGAGGGATGTGGTGGCGCTCCAGAGAGAGAAAGCCCTGAAGGAGAAGGAGAACGACAACATCCGCGCCAAGCTGCGATACACCGAGCTCAAGCTCAAGTACTACCGGCAGGGCGTGGAGGAGGAGCTGCAGCAGAGAGCCTCGGCTCTGATCCGCGCCCACCCCTCCGCCCTCGCCCGGACACAGAGGGGTGAGGCCAKCGTCTCGCCCACAGAGCCCTTCCCATCATGCTCTGACCAGAAAACTGCAGAAGGGGCGCTGAGGAGGAGCAGTGAAGGTGACGCGCTGAGCTGATGCTCCGTTCAGCTCTCTCCTCCTCTGTCTCACTCATGTTTGTGTCTGTCGTCCCAGAATGCACCTCTTCAGAGCTGACGGGCAGACGAGCAGTCAGAGGGGGCGGTCCTTCAGATGTGCTGAGCTCAGACYCCTGTGAGCTGCTGCTGCCCGACACACTGGCTGTGAACACATCTGCAGAGCCTTTACAGAACAGCACAGGTAGGTGCTTTTTCTGCTGAGTCATTGTAGTTTAAAGCTTGGACCTCCTCACACTGTGGGATGGACAGCCGAACATATTCAGCTTCAGACGTTCAGTTGTTAAATCTTAGAGTTTGTTTTCACCTTCAGTATGTTGCTCTCATTCCAGAAGTACAAATGGTTGCCTGGGTTGGCAGAAAGCAGCAAGATCAAATGTAAACATTGAATAAAACACGCATATCGGAAAATAACTATATTTGCTTAAAATGCAAAACGTGTGTAGCTGCATGGGACGTGCAGGTCGCTTCAGGGCTGTGGACTGTTCACACTGTTCTGATTGAGGTTGTATTTAAGTGTTTTTGACAGCCATTTTAATTTTAGTCTTAGTCTTTTGACCAAAAATACTTCTTAGTTTTAGTCAGTTTTAGTCTTTTCTGTATTTAATGGTTTTAGTTGAATTTTAGTTGATGAAAGCTTTAAAAAAATGTTTAGTTAAAACAATTACTTACTTAATTTAGTTACTTAAAAAAAGACAACTAGGAATGTGCGAAATGGCAAAAAATTTATATCACGATATACATTTTGATGAGTGGCGGTAACGATATACAGTCTGACTGTCAGCCTTTCCCACAGCGCTTCCCTGCTGTACAAAGAGACAGTATTGCGCTATGACCGCAGGAGAAACGAGGTCCAGACTCAACGAGCTTTTCTGCATCCCACCTGAGCACTACTTCACCTGCACTGACAGTCGCCTCGCTGCGTCACCATGTGCTGCGGCGCGCGCTCCTCCCGCTGCAGGCACTGTGGTTGGTCGGCATCCGACTGGAGGACGTGCTGTCACRTAAACGTAAACAGTTCTGCGTTCATTTTCGCACACCTGAACCAGGTCCGGATAAGTTATGTTTTTCCCCCTCTTCATCTGCGCTGTCAGCCACGCTGCTTCCCGCTTCCTCTGTTTTGACTCCAGCCGGTTAAGTCATCAAAAAGAACTGCGCGGTTGGCCGGTAGAATACAGATCTCCATCATAGGACAAATTTATATCGTTTCTACCGTATATCGTTTATATCGTGCATTCCTAAAGACAACATATTAGTCTTTACAAATCAATGTGAGTAATTTGTGTTAACATTTGTGAATTTGTGTTCATCTAAAATGCCCAAAACAAAAACATTCTCACTTTGTGGCTTTATTTCTCAGAATTTGCTAAAGTGCAATGAACATACACAACACACATGCCCAATATTATAAGCAATAAAGGTGAACACACATGTTCAACTCAAACTTGTCAGCCAGGACCATGAAGATGCATCTTATTTATAAAAACGGACATCATGCAGTCCTAAACTTAGTAGACTATTAAACATGTGCAAACGAGTGTTCACATGCACCAGGCTTTTATTCAGAACAGAAGCACTGATATGTGCAGTTGCTAAATCCCCCCGGCCAAAAAAAAAAAGAGAAGAGGTTTTACTTTCATCATGAACATAAACAAACAGCTTCTGAGCTCAGAATGGACCTGTAACAGCTTTTAATGGTGGAGACGTTACTCCCTGGTTAAGCTACAGGTGACGACAGACTTTTTAAAAATTATTATTATTATTATTTTTTGCGAAGCGTCGCAGGCTGTTTGTCTTCCTTCTTTACTGTTCTTTACTGAATGAGAGAAGGAAATGTTCTGTGCTGCTGCTGTTGTGTGTGTGTGTGTGTGTGTGTGTGTGTGTGTGTGTGTGTGT